GAGCAGAGCAAGCTGTTCATTTGGAGCCTTTCCCTGGGGTTTAATAAAGCCCCACTCGCTTCTGTAGTATCATTTTTATGCCATCATAAAGCCGGACCATTTAGCAGGTTTGTGTTACTTCAGCAGTTAGCGCTGCATGAGAAGCGATTCCACAGGAAGGGAGAGAGGGAAAAGGAAGAAAAAAAAAATAAAATTAGAAGACGAAAACCTCCAAAAGGAGAGAGCAAAATGAGGCGGGAAGGAGGAAAGGGGATTCCTCACAGCCACACCAGCACTGCAGCACATCAGGGGGATGTGAGTGGGCTCCACGATCCCTGGTGGGGAGACCCCACTCCAGCCCCGTGGTGCTGAAGGGTCAGAGACCCCAGCCCAGCATCCAGAGGGACCCTGCCTGTGATGGGAAAGAGTGGGGAGGGGTCTCCTCACACCAGGGTGTTGCACCTGTGGGGACAGCAGAGCCAGTGTGGGTTATCCTGGGGGGCTGAGGGGTTCCCCAAGGTGGAAGAACCAGCAGCTCCCCCAACCCTGAATGCTCCTGGGGCTGTCCCAGCCCCTCTGCTCGCAGCCCCAGTAGCTCATCCAGGAGCACTGTGGGGCTGGGGCAGAGGGGGTCCCCGAGGGGAAGGAACCAGCAGCTCCTGACAGGGCTCTCCCAGCCCAGGGCAGCCCAAGGGGAGCATCAGGCTCTCTGTGCTGCTGGAAAAATCTCCTTATAAGGCCAGGATGGGATCCATGGCCGAGCTGAGCCCAGCCAAAGTGCCCAAGGGGAGCCCTGAGCTGCCAGCCCGCACTCAGCCCCGGGCTGTGCCCACCCCAAGCCTGGCACTGCCCGCACCGCTAAGCCAGCGCAAACGGGAGCCAGCCTGGGTGCACGCCCAGAGCCAGGTCACCCCACAACCAGGTCACCCCACCCTCCCTGTGGCTGCCCCCTCAGTGCTGTGCCAGCCCCAGGGGCAGCACCCATGCCCCAGCGAGGGCAGAGCCATCCCCATCGCTCCCAGGCGCTGGCTTGGAGCCTCTCCAGCCACACTGGGCAGGGCTCCAGAGGCACTGTCCCCATCCAAGAGGGGAAGGCCACCACTGAGAGAGCCACAGAGCCAGGAGCTGCTGCCTGGGAGGATCCTCGGGGTGCCCAGCAGGACCTTCCCCTTGCCCATAGCTCAGGGGGTCACAGCAGCAGGGAGGGGACACAGCCTGGCACCCCAAACCCCCGAGCAGCAATGACACCTCTGACCACACCACCACTCACACACCATTCCCACACCTTTTTCTGCCTAATTAATGCCTGTCCTGCCCTGCAGGAGGACAGTGGCATGTGGCAGGGGGGTGTCTTTGTATGGCAGTCATGACCCCCATGCCAGGCACGGCCGCCACGCCACCGACCCCGCAAAATATAAACGAGGGGACACAGCCTGGCACCCCAAACCCCCAAACCCCCGAGCAGCAATGAGAACCCTGACCACACTAAAACTCACACACCACTCCCACACCTTTTTCTGCCTAATTAATTCCAGTCCAGGAGCACGGTGGCACTTGGCAGGTGGGTGTCTCTGCATGGCAGCCCCGGCCCGACGCCACCGACCCCGCAATATAAATGAGGAGGAGGAGGGAAGGAAGGAAGGCTGGGAAATTAAGGTTTTCAGCACTGTCAGAGCCGCATCAAACAGGCATCCACCAGCTGATGGCTTGATTGTTATATTTTGGATGTCAAAGCGGAGCAAGCAGAACCCTTTAAAATGCATCAGCGCCGCTGCCTTTCTGACGGAGGGTGTTGGTTTCCCATTAACAAGAGGAAAGCGTGAGCTGGAGCAGAAAACTTCAAGCGCTTTGGAATTGATAAAATAACAACTCCCTAATTAAGCAGAACTGTCAGTCAGCGGGCGCCCGCTGCCCTGCATTGGGAAGCAGCAGCAGCAGCAGCTCCTGGTGCACAAGCCCAACAAGCCAGCTCAGCCCTGGGGGATGCAATTCCCCAGGATCAGCAGGCAGAGCATCCCCACTGTGCTCTGCAGCACACCCAGACAGGTCCTGGCGCTGGTGCTGGTCCCGAGGCTGGGCTTGTTTGGGTTCTATCCCTCAGTTTGCCTCACCATGAGTGATGTGGCTGCCCCATCCCTGCTCCATCCCTTGGAGCACCCTGGGATGGTGGAAGGTGTCCCTGGCCTTGGCAGGGGGTGGAAGGAGATGAGCTTTAGGGTCCCTTCCAACCCAAACCATTCCAAGATTCTATGATTTTATGAAACCATGCAATGCAATGCGCAGCCTGGCAGGGAAGGAGAGGCCTGACCCCAAAAATGCAACTCCTGCCAACAGCCTTCCCTTTCTAGAGACAACACCAGCCTGGGGCACACATTCCTGATGGACACAGCATCCCCACTGCCAGCTGCATGCAGGGAGGGGTCTCCCTGTGAAGGTCCCCCCAGAGAGGGCTTGGAGAAGTTCAGAGTGGGATTTGAGGTGCTCAAGGCCGGGTTGAACACAGCTCTGGGCAGCCTGGTCTAGTGGAAGGTGTCCCTGCTGGGGTGAGATGCTCTTTAAGGTCCCTTCTGACCCAAAGCATTCCATGATCCTGCAGAGCCCTGCCAGAGCAGCAGCACAGCCGATGCCCATGGGCACGCTGGGCCCCCAGACCCCGCCATCCTGCTCTGCCCAGCACCATCCCGCTCTGAAGGAAGCGGCCAAAGAAGCAGTGAGACCTCCCTCTGACTCTGGCAGTGAAAAGCTGAACCTCTGCCATGCCTGGGGCCACAGGGAAAACTGCCCAGTGCCCTGGGGAGGGGACACAGAGGAGGGGGACAGGGCAGGGGACAGCCAGGAGGGACCACGGGCTGTGGGGAAGGTGTTTAACCCCTGACATGCTGGTGTCTGACGAAACCACCACGCAAAGGGGGTCTCTGCTTCTCACTCAGGCTGCTGCCAGCCCCTACAGTGCCAGCCCCAGTTGGGCACTTGCAGCACAAGGAGAGGCTCCTGGGCACCCCAGGGCACTTCAGGGGACACTCCTCAGCCCAGCTGGGAGGTTCAAATCAAAGCAGGAGGCAAGGCAGGCTCCAGGAGGGAAGCAGCCAGGCAGCAGAGGCACCTGCCCACAGCCCAGGCAGAGCCACGGCAGAGCAGCTGGGCCAGGAAAGGGGAGAGCACTCCATGATGGGGTGCACACAGGGGAGCCCCTGAAAATGATCCTGGACTCTGAGCCTGTCCTCCACTCTTCACAACATGAAACCCCCAGTGACGCGTGTGACAGCCTGGGAATCCCTTCACTCCTCATCCCAGCCCCCTGACACATCTCCAGACCCCACCAGTGCATGTCCCCATGGTGGGCCAGCCCTGGCAGACCCTTTTTCCCCAGGTCTCACCCCAGGTGGGGGTTGGAGAGGCCCCACACAGGCATCATCACCTCCTGCCACCTCCACAGCCCTGACACCCTTCCTGCACTGGGGGGACACCAGCTGCCCCCAGCCCACCACCAGGAGTGGGTGCCATCCTCCACACAACAGCAGCCACATAGTCCAGCCTCTCTGCCCCAAAAGAGCCCGGTTTGCACCCAGCGGGCTGGATCTGGGTGTCCCCAGCAGAGCCAGGACACGCGTGCCAGGGCCACAGGCTGGTGTGGCAGCCCCGGAGCCCGGTAACACACTAATCACCCTGGAGGTGACAGGGCTTAGGGGAGGAACCGGCTCCTTTTTACTGACACCATCTGGACACAGCCGATCTCTTCCCCCTTTCAGTGCAGAGCCCAGCAGAGGGGCAGGGGTGACCCCAGACCCAGCACCGGATCCCCCCTCGCAGCATCAGAGCGGGGAACGCTGCCTGCGCCAGGGAATCCTAGCGAGCCCACAGTGCCAGGCGAGCGCAGAGCCGGGGAATGCCAGCCTGGAATGCCAGCCTGGAATGCCAGGCTGCCGCTGCCAGCCTGGCCCCCGGGGAGGGGGACGCGGCCGCGGGGAAGGCGGGGGCTGAGCCAGCGGGGACGCCCCGGGTGACAGCCAGGCTGGGGACAGCTGTTTGTTTGGGGACAGCTGTTTGGGGACAGCCCGCCCTCCGGCTGCCCTGCCGGCCACGCCACCGGCACGCCGGGACCCGGAGAGGGGCGGCCGTGGGGTTATCACCCGCTGTACCCCGGTTATCACCCACTGTACCGCGGTTATCACCCACTGTACCCCCATACTTGGGGTTATCACTCACTGCACCCCGGTTATCACCCGCTGTACCCCCGTATTTGCGGTTATCACCCACTGTACCCCCGTATTTGGGTTATCACCCGCTGTACCCCGGTTATCACCCACTGTACCCCCGTACTTGTGGTTATCACCCACTGTACACCGTATTTGGGGTTATCATCCACTGTACTCCCCTACTTGGGGTTATCACCCGCTGTACCCCGGTTATCAGCCACTGTACCCCGTACTTGGGGCTGTGTACCCACGTAATTGGGGGTACCACCCACCGTACCCCCGTTCTTGCGGCTATCGCCCACTGTACCCCCGTACCTGGGGCTGGCACCCACTGTACCCCCGTAATTCGGGTGATCACCCACTGTACCCCCGTGATCGGGGTTATCGCCCACTGTACCCCCGTTCTTGCGGCTATCACCCACTGTACCCCCGTAATTCGGGTGATCACCCACTGTACCCCCGCACCTGGGGCTGGCACTCGCTGTACCCAGTGCTGGCTCACCTGCGACCCCGCTGCCTGTCGCTGTCCCCCTCCCCAACCTGCCGGGGGACAGCGGCGCCGCTCCGACCCTCATCCCGGCTGACACCCGCGGGTGACACAGGGACAAGCTCACCCCGGCTCCAAAACACGACACCACGAAGCGCCAGCTCTCCCCAAACTTAACCGAGCCCTTATCTCGCCAACTGCGAGGACGGCGGGGATCCCCCCAAACCTCCCCGCCAGACCAAGCTCCGGCTGCCTCGGGAGAACCCTCCAAGCTCCGGGACACCGCTCCGGGAGAGAGGGCAAAGTTGCGCAGGGGATGGGGTCAGGGGGTCAGGTACCTTCCAGCCGGCCGAGCTGTTGCTGTCTCCTTTATCCTTAAAGTAGGGGACGTATCGCACCATCCAGTCGTAGATCTGCGAGAGGGTGAGGCGCTTCTCCGGCGAGCTCTCGATGGCTTTGGTGATGAGGTCGGCGTAGGAGAGGTTGCCCCAGGCGTTGCGCCGGGAGGTCTTGGCCTTGCGGAGCTGCCCCACATCCGCGCCGTGGGGCGGCGGGGGAGCGGCGGCCGCTCTGCGCTCCACCGGCGCCGCCGCGTTCTCCGCTCCGTCCCCGCCGGCCGCCAGCGCCGGGGTTCCCCCCGCGCCCCCATCTTCCTCCTCCAAGTCGGGGTGGGGGAGAGGCCAAGTGCAGGAGCGGGGACGGCTCTGCGGCTCGAAATCCGGGTCGATCTCCACCTGATGCGCCTGGAGCTTTTCTTCCATGGTCGCCTCCCCGCTGCCACCCCACAGCTCCCCCCGGAGTTACGGGCGGTTTCCACCCAAAAAAAAAAAATTTAAAAAAAACCTACCCAAACACACAACAAAAAACCCAAAATCTCGAGAGGGAGAGGAGTGCGAAGGCGGGCTCCCTGCCCGGCTGGAGGGAGAAGGGAAGGAGGAGGCGCTGGCTGCGCGGGTCCTGGCGGGGGGAGCCCCGAGTCCGGGGAGCCCCGGCTCCGGCGGCTTTAGGAGGCGGCTGTGCCCGGCGCCGCGCCGGGAGCGCCGAGCCGGGGCACACGCTGCATGCTCCTCGGCCGCCTCTCCAGTCCGGCCCGAAGCTGGCGGGTGTTTTTTGGTTCGGATTTGGTTTTGGTTTGGTTTTTAGCAGCCGCGGAGCTCCGGAGCGGTTCCCGGCTCAGTAGCCAGCGGGGCGGCTGCGGGCGGGCAGGGCGCGGGGGCGGCCGCATCCATCGGGCTGGCGGCGCGGTCAGGCAGCAACAGATGAACCGGAGCGAGCGGCGGCGGGCGGCATCCTCGGCCGGGGACCGGCGGGCGCCGGGGCCGGGCGGCGGGGCAGCTAAGCGGGGAGAAGCGGGACAGAGATAGTGGGGAGCCCTCGTTGCGGCGGGCGCAGTCTCCCGCGGGCGGCCCGGCGCTAGGTCCGGCGGCGCGGCGGAGCCATGCTGGCGGGCGGCACGCACCTGACAGCGCCGGCGAGGGCGGCGGCGGGCGGCTCCCGCCCCTACGCCCCCCCGCTCCGCTTCAGCGGCCGCGCACCTGCCCGCCGCCGCCGCCGCCGCCGCACTGCCGCCACGGCGCGGGCGGGCCACATGCTGGGGCGGCCGCGGCTCTCTCGCTCGTTCTCTCCTCGGCTCGCTCTCTCGCTCCCTCCTTCCCTCCCTCCGCCGTGCCCGTTCCCGAATGCGGGCGCCGCCGTGACACAGGGGGAGGGCCCGGAGGGGCGGGGGAAGGGCGGGGGAGGGGAGTGCCCCCGCGGCTGGCGGGGCAGCGGCGGGGCGGGACGGAGCGGAGCGGAGAGCCCCGGCGGAGAGCCCCGGCACCGCGCTGCCCCCGCCCGGCCCGGGCCGCGGCCCCACGTGCGCCCCGGGCGCCCCCCATTGTTGCCCCGGGCCGCCGCCGCCGCCTCATTGGCTGGAGGGGCTCGGCGGACACGCCCCCCCGCCCGCTGATTGGATGGGCGCCGGCGGGATGCTCCGCGCGCGGGGGGGATGAATGGGGGGAGAGGCCCCGCCCCTCTGGTGACGTCACTGGTGCCGGCTGCATCCGCGCGTCACCCCGGGCAACGCGGCCGCGCGGCGGGACACGCCCCTTTACTACGGGCCACGCCCCCGCCGCCTCGGCCACGCCCCCGCCGGGCGGTCGGGGAGACCCCGAGTGGGCCCCGCCCACCGCCGTGCAGCCCCGCCCCTCTAGGGGGACTCGCCCCCGCCTACGTTAGGGGCGATCCCGATCCCGACCCCAATCCCGATTCCATCGCGATCCCAATCCCGACCCCGATCCCAATCCTGACCCTGATCCCGATCCCAATCCCGATCCCAATCCCGATCCCAATCCCGACCCCGATCCCTACCCTGACCCCGATCCTGATCCCGATCCCGACCCCGATCCCGGTCTCCTCGGGCCTGTCCTCCCCGCAGCCCGCCGCCCATCAGCCGGTGCCTTCCCGGTGCTGTCCCCACCGCCATGCGGTGACCGAGGGACCGGACACCCCTGGCCCAGCACAGCGCTGTTTCCTCCAGCCGCACACAGCCCGGCACCCCCGAGGGTGCAGACCCCTCGTCGTGCACCCACCGGGGATACCCGCCTGACCCCCGCCCCCTGCATCCACCCCAGCATTCCCCTCCTCACCATCCCCTGGGGACACGCTGCACGCACTGGGGACAGAGCTGTCTGCGCTGTGTCCCCACCTCTGTCCCTTCCCCGCCACCTCCAGGACCCTCCTGCCTCCTGCTCTGCCCTGTCCCTGCCCAGCAGCCATTCCGGGGAACGCTGTCACTGCGTTCCCCGCATCCTCCTGCTCTTTGTCACCCCCGGTGCCACCAGTTGTTCCTGTGACAGCTCTTTCACGCCACAGTCACAGTGCAATCCTGTTCCTGCAGCCCCATTCCTGGCCCAAAGGGATGGCCTGAGGTTACCCAAGCAGCTCAAGGAGCTGATGCTTCCAGCCTGGAAGTGCTCGGCCTGACAGCTCTAATAATATAATAAAGTAGAATATAATCTAATAGATAGAATATAATGTAATAAATATAATACAATATACAGGCGGGACTTGACAAGTGCTCTGTTTCACAACCCGCAGTGACAGTGACAGCTCCAGCTGGCCCTGGGGGCACATCCCAGCAGCGGGGGACTTGGGGAGGGGGCTGTGTCCCCTGACCCCTGCCTGGCAGCTGGGGACCTGTGACCAAGCCCCTTCTGACAGCTCCTGGTGTCCCTGCCCCGGGGAGGCTCAGCCAGGCTGGCACCAGAGCAGCCCTCAGGACAGACCTGACCCCAAAATCCCCTGATCCCGAGTGCTGCCCTGCGCCTCCCTCCTCCCCAGAGCGTTTCTCCAGGGATCCATCCCAAATTTCCCTGGCTGTGCTTCACACACCCGTGACCTCCTTCCTGTGCCCCAGGGCGCCGTTCCCTCCTCTCTCTCCGCAGCCTTTTGCCCACTTGGAGCCGGGGATGTTTATTCCCTCAGTGTTGCCTTTCATAGTCAAAACCCTCCCACATTTCTCACTCTCTCCCGGCCTTGTTTTCCCAGCCCAGCAGAGCCGAGCAGAGGGTCCCAGCCTGCAGAGCCTTCCCGTGGCTGCCTCTCCCTCCCGGTGCTGCTCCATTCCTCCCCCTGCACTTTTCCTGCAGCAGGTGCCTCTCCCTGCCCTCACCCTCAGCCTCCTCAGCCCTTGGGGAGCTCCCTGCCCACGCTGCCAGCTCACCCTGGAGCTTCGGCAGCTCCCAAAGCTGCTCTGGCTCGCCTGCTGCCTCAGTTTCCCCACCTGCGCAGCCCCTCCAGGCAGGCATGGAGAGAGGGCAAGGAGAAAAAAAAATTAAAATTAGAATATGAAAACCTCCAAAAGGAGAGAGCAAAATGAGGTGAGAAGGAGGAAAGGGGATTCCTCACAGCCACACCAGCACTGCAGCACATCAGGGGGATGTGAGTGGGCTCCACCATCCCTGGTGGGGAGATCCCACTCCAGCCCCGTGGTGCTGAAGGGTCAGAGACCCCAGCCCAGCATCCAGAGGGACCCTGCCTGTGATGGGAAGGTTGGGGGGATCCCTCACACCAGGGGATCCCGGGGGTGTTGCACCTGTGGGGACAGGAGAGCCAGGGTGGCTCATCCAGGAGCGGTGTGGGGCTGGAGCAGAGGGGTTCCCCAAGGTGAAAGAAGGTGACAGGTTGGACAGCTTTGTGGCTCCTCTCAACCAAAGCTGCTCCCATCCCATCCCACCCCATCCCATCCAATCCCATCCCATCCCATCCCATCCCACCCCATCCCATCCCATCCCATCCCATCCCACCCCATCCCATCCCACCCCCGGCTTGCCCAAGGCTCATCCCTGACCTGCTCGCCCATCCCCGTGGATGCAGAGCAGCACATTCCTGGGTGCAGGTGTTCCCATTCCTGCGTGCAGGGCACACCCAGCTCTGGGATGCCCACAGGGGGGTGGTGAATCCTCTGCCCCCGGCAGAAACTCGGGGCTGGCTCAGCCTCCCCTTCCCAAACACCTGGATAATTATCCCTCACCCTCCTGGCAGCACCTCCATCAGCCATCCCCCACCTTGGAGCTGCAGCCCCAATGCTCAGCCAGCCCTCATGGGCACACACAGGCCAGGGGGCAGAGCTGGGGGGCACCAAGCTGTCACCTGTGTCCCCCACACCCCAGGGTTCCAGATGCCAGGTCCCCCTGGGGAAGCTGGGGCTCTGTGGGGTGACACCTGGAATTTCAGGGATCTGATCCCAACACAGTGCAGGAGGTGATGGGCAGTTGATGCTGCAGGGTCTGGGTGCACAATTCTCCAACGTTCTTGGGAATGGTCACCGTCCCACAAATCTCCAACATCCTTGGGAATGGTCACAGTCCCACAAATCTCCAACATCCTTGGGAATGGTCACAGTCCCACAAATCTCCAACGTCCTTGGAAATGGTCACAGACTGAGCCCCCCTGCCCCAGCACCTCTGGGCAGAGCCAAGCTTGGTGTCCTCACCTGCTGCTGGTGTCACCTCCCACCCCACCCCACCAGGCCAGCAGCATCTCCATCTCATTACCACAACATCCCATTAATCCCTTTCTCCTTGCCAGCCCCCAGACTGGCACCTGGGGGTTGTCCTGAAGCCCCCATGCCCTTCACTACCCAAGCAGCTCCCAAGAAGCAGCAGAGAACTTTTTGGGTTCCTGTTGGGAGGGGAAGAAGCACCAAGACAGCCCCAGCAGTTTGTGAGGTGCCTGCTCTGCTTTGGGAGGCAGAGCCACACATACAACACATCTTGTGAAATGAAAATTGCCCCAAATGTTGATTTTTATCGCTATAAAACATGAAGTAAAATGATGTGGACATGCAGCTCTCCAAGGTAAAAAAGAGAAATTTTAATTTCTGACTCCAACATTTATAGATTTCCAAAAGTGACAGTGGATTGGAGGGTGACAGTGCCACCCCTCCAATGACTCTGCACAAACCAACAGGCCATCAAATTTCTCCTCTTCCATAAAAGAACGCAAAACAATGAGTTATTTACATAAAGTGTGTGAGAAAGTTCATTACAAAAATGTGAGCAACAGAAGGTTTAGAAAAACTTAAAAAAACCAGGGTGACACTAATTTGGGCCATGGACATGCCACGTGTGACCCTCCCTCCTCAGGATGTGGTGGCACGAGGAGATCTCAGGCAGTGCCTATTAAAAAGCACGTTCATGGAACATAAAGTGGAAGTTAAGTGAAGGAAATGATAAAGTCAAAATGAAATATTTTTACTTTGCTGAAATGAACTTCGTGTTTTGACATGAGCGGAATAAACATTTTGACACT